CTAATAGGGTTAGATTCAGCTCTCAGTATTCTTAGATGGAGGCCACAGTGCTAGCACCCTAGAAGGGTCCATCATTGATGTTTATCCCTGGCTTTCCTCAGTGCTGAGTGACCAGATTTGAGGTCCCTTTCATTTTTACTTTTCTTCAATGCTCCAGAAAGAAGGCATGCCATAGACATTGTGGGTAGTTGAAATGGCAAGTTGACCACAACTACTAGGCACAAATTACAACGTGGATGTAGGGCCTTCCTGATGTAGGAATAGCCCCACCAGAATGTACTTCTCTAGTGGTGGGGATGGCTTTGTGTGTCACAACTGAAGCCAGCACTGGATGATGATGATAATTACTAGCCTTAATGATATCATGGTATATGGTACTATGTGCATCTTTCTCCCACATGGACTTTACTACCTATCCCATAATTCCTCTTTGGGCTGCAGAGACTACTCAAGCATCTATCACGGCAAGGTTAGCATGGCTTTATATAGCACAGGGTTGTTGAACCTGTTTGAACCTAAGGGCCAACATCTGTTTCAGAGAAACTCACAGGACCACATCACATTTGTGGTCAGGGCTAAAGGAAAAACTGATGAGGGGAAAAGTCAATGAAGATGGGCCAAAATACCAAAAATGTCTAGATATTTTAGCCTTAACCACTTCTGAGTAGTAACTCACGTTTAGGAGAGGCATTTCAACCTTTTAGAATGGGGAAAAAACTGCAAACAGTGCAAATAATTATGCATCTGCAGAAATATTCAGATTGAATGGGAAAACATTGTAGTGAATGGGAAAGCAAAGGGGCCATGATAGGGCCAGAATGGGCTCCCAGACAGATTGGATTTGGCCCCCGGGCCTGAAGTTCTGCACCTCTGGTGCAGCATATTGAATATTCAGGACATCTGAGAGCCAGTTAAAATCATAGAGTCACGTGACAGGTCCTGGAATGTGTTCTTCATGACTGAAGCTCTACACGGCTGCTGTAAATCAATATCATCATGAGAATGCAATGGCAGCCATTGATATTGGCTTGAAAATCAGCACACAGATGGGGCAATTTGTGGAGTGAGTTTTGCATGATCCCATCATAGGACCTCTATTACCACACTTAAGTGATTCTACCATTTAATGACTAAACAAGGTTCAATATTTTGTTACTGACATTCAAAGCTCTAAACAAGCCAGGTCCAGGAAACTTAGCTAGCTGTCTTCCCCTGTGTATATCAATTTCAGCAGTACTCACCCCAAAAAGTTCATTTTTTTCAGCCACACTTGCATTTAAGTGTGGTGTATTGGGGGTGGGGGTCATATCCTGCAAACTACCTGACAGAACAATCTTGAAACCTTATAGGAAGACCTTGTCACTGTTCATGGTGCTTGTGAGGTTCAGGGGCAGATTGCAAGTGTTACTAGCCCTTCTGAGATTACCACCAGGATCAGTGACCCACTTGAGAATATAGTGGCATTGGAAGAACCAAAGAACTTGCACTGGTCCCATTCTCTAATCCCAGGCCCACTAAGAACCTGTCTGGACCTGTTGTAGACAACCTATAATGAAGCTACAAAGATGGGAACAGGTATGTTCCTTAGTGGCTGAGACATTCAACTCAATAATGTCCTATGTGCAGTTAATTACTTTCTTGATTTCCATTTACTGCTATGATGGGTATGAGGGCAAACCAGCTATCCTCAGTTGATGCAAGGTGGTCCAACCCTCCAGAAGTAGCCAACTCCAGGGGTAGCTGCAATATAAAAAGCCTGTCTCTGTACTAACCTGCTATCCAATGACAGGCACGTCCATGGCATTTCATATACAGTTGACACATAAAGCATCCTATTTTTTTATTTCAAGAAAAGGGAGTGGGGCAATTAGTCATTTTGATGCAGTTTTCCACACATTTGCCTAGTGGTTGTTGCTGTTGTTTTTTCTTTCTCTTTGCTGGTCCTCCACATAACTCTGGGAAAGGGCATTCTAAAGGACTTTAGAGGCAAAGTAGGAAAAATGACATAAAAGCCTCTCTCAGATTTGATAGATGCACTCTCCTATTTGAAGTTCACTCACAGTTGTGTGCAAGAATGCCTGGGTCACTCTATCCAGCCCTCTAATGAGGCAGCACGTGAACACTCTGCAGCTTTGTAGGCCTTCCTTTAATCAAAGATTGGGTAACACTCAGGACTGATAGGCTTCAACATCAGATCTAAACAGAAAATAACATGCTCGATTTGCCCTCTGAAGGTGGGTTGAGCAAATCTTTGTGATGTATCGGAGCATTTGCTGGCTGCAAACACACGTGGTGCAGTTCCTATTTCTGTCGGCAAATACAAATTTTTCACTCAGCAGGCTTAATCAGAGCCAACTCAAGAGGAGAAATAACAAAAACTCAACAGCCCTTAGCAACTCAGCATGGCATAGAGGGATTTAAGACTTTAGCATTTTATCTCCATCAGTATGAAAATGTATGAGGAAATCTGAACTTTGGATTTGCAAATAAACACATTTTACACATTATAAACCATCCGTTTTAACCAATGATGCTTAAGCCTTTTGCTATGCTGTTTTCCCATTTCATTTTTGATGCCATTTTCATCTAATAAAGCAGGCTCACTAAATGTGGGTTCCCTTTCCACAGGAAAATGCATTTCATATTGACAGAACTGAGTCAAAAAAGTGAAAAGCTCATACCTTATAGGAAAGTGGCAGATTTGCAAAGGTGAGGCTTGCAACAGGGGGACTCAAAGGATCATCTAGTTCGGGCACAAGCAACCTTTGTGGCCCTGGATGCATTAGGCAATTGTGGAAACTGCCCCATACCACAACAACATGACTGCTATGAGAGGCATGGCAAAAGACAAGACAAAGACTGAGGCAAAGGCAGAGAGGTGCAGCCTGAGTTCCATGATATCCTTTGAAGCTATTTTTTAGCACTGACAGAAAAGCCAAACCTTCACAACAATCCCAGCTGCTGGTAAGGAACTGTATCATCATCATCATCATCAACAACAACAACAACAACAACAACAACAACAACAACTATTATTTTCAGTGGAGGGGGGCGCCTTTGGTAACCTTGGCAGTTACGAAAGGCATCCAAATGACAAAGTAGTCTGTCAACAACCCAAATAAGTTATTTAAGGATGCAAAGAGCTAATGTTGAGGTGTGGGCCTCATCTTATATTTGAAGCCTTCAAACACTAAAATGCCTTAGATTAGCCCTTCTGCAATTGTACAGTTCCTTACATTTCTTTAAACTGAACAGCAGAACTTGAAATAATGGAGACTATTTCTCTCTGTTATGAAATATGCAAACATCCAGAATCTAATTCCAGAAGGCAATGTAAGGCTATATCCTATGTTTGATGACCCCTTCAAAATATGTGACAAAGATAGAACATATGCTTATGGTCCTACATGCTTTCTGTGTTATGTGTAGCATGGAGTAAATGCTTTCACTTTCCTTTTCTATTTTCTTTTTCAAGAACATCCAGAACAGTCAGCTAGTGATGGGGTTTACTAGGAAAAAAATAATCATATAAGCATAACTTTTTGTGATCTGTGAATTACGTCCTATGTGTTTCTGTCATGCATAATACTATGCTCTAGTTCTGGATAGACACAGAAAAATATGAAACCAGGGCAATGGAGTATTATACTAGACACTTCAAAGGTACCTGTAAAAAGCTCTCACATAAGGCCACTTGACGTTATTTGCTTTCTTACATGGAGACAATCTCTGGGAAGCAAAATGCATGTTTAGTTTTCCATAATGTCTAAAGTGAAGCACAAGTGAGTTTCACGTTGTGAATATATCATTCAGGCAGCAGCTGCCATATTCCTGGAGGTTTTTTGCTGGTATGGAAATGCCACACACTGTGGAAGTTACATGGGACAAAGTGTGGGAGATATTAAAGCAGGACTAGGAGACTCACCACAGATGAACCGTGTGCCATGGGGGAAAGGTACCATGAAAACAAAGTGCAAGAAGAGTAAGGGAAGGAGAGGAGTAAAATATTTTGCAGATTAATATTCCCTCCAACCCCTGCATCCTAGATTAGTCCTGTCTCCCTCCAACCCTGGGGACAGAACTAATCTAGAAAATGAATTGATTGGCTTTGGTTACTCCTTTATGAGGGATCCTGCCTTATTCACAAGTGGCCTTTCTGAACCATCTGGGCCATTCAAGCAGCAGAGGGGGAAAGTGCCAGCAGCTACATTTTAGCATGGGGTGCAAGTTCTTTAAGGATGTGAAAAGCCCCTTTGAATGTAAATGCACACACGCACGCACGCACATTTAGTACACTTGGTGGTCAGAGAAAGTTTCTGGTGGCTAGAAGGAAGACACAGAAGTTAGGGAATCAATGTACATTCTTTATATTGAGAATGTAAAGAAAAGAGTGGAACCCAAGAAATGGAGGAAAAAGAGATCTTAAGCAAAAGCAAAAAATGGCTGGAAAAGGGAACAAAAGCAGAGAGACTGGGGAATGGTTTTGCAAATGTTACTATCTTTTAATCTAAACAATTTATACTGCAGGTGTAGAATAAAATGAACACCTGATGTATAATGCTTAGCTTCTTTGAGGTAGGATTCTAATGAAACCATAAAAAAATACCAAGTCCCAGCCTGCTTGAGTCCTGCAAAAACATGGTTCTTCCATTGTAATGCATTCTGCAAACTTCATAGCTAATGTATGACTGACTTAGCAGCCTTCTCCCATTAATATATTTTCTCATAAACGTGGGCATGGGAAGTACAGAAACTGCTCAATTACTGTTTATTAAAGTAATTGATATGCCTCAAGCAAGTTTTCATCAGAGCTGCCTGGTTGGTCACCCTGCCACTCACAGGGGTCCTTGGAAAAGACCCCCCTCACCAATTGTTCCTCCTTTTGATGATGATCAGTTTCATATCTGTTGTGAGCACATTAATTAATTAATTAAAATTAATACAGAACATCTCAGGACAGCTTACAATAAATAAGTAGAATAAAAATCCCACCTGCTTACCTTTTCAGATCAGTGTGAAAGGGTTCTAAAACCAGTCCTTTATTGAGCTAGGCTGGCTTTGCAATGCAGAATAATAATAAAGCAATGACCAAGTAGCTTCTGTCAAAGCAGTGTCCTGTCTGATTGGTGGAATCGGCTTTTGAGCATGTCAGGAATTGTTTCCAAATAGTGTCCCCTCCTCACGTCCCCCCAAAGTGTATGTCTTCACCCTCAGGGAGGGTTGTGCTACTTGTGGGCCTCATGGCAGGAATGCTGAACATTGGTCTGCTTGTCTGGCTTGATGATGAATGACTGGGTTGATGAAGCTTTTGGTCCTCTCCCTCTGTCCATCCTTGTTCTACCATGTATCCCCCTGACCCAGAGGCAGTTTGGTTCTCACCAGCTGCTTTGCTAATCTTAGTCGCTAACATTGGTATTTTAGTAATGCATTCCAACTGCTCCTCTTCTTTGTCTAGCTCACATTCAGAGGCTGAGCTTAATAGTTTGGAATGTTATATTTTGGGAGAAGTATGCCTGATCCTTACATCATCCCATTTTTCCCCCCTCTGGAAAGAAATCCAAGTTGTCTAGCAGAGTTCTGTTCCTCCTTTCACAACACCCTGTACATAAATGATTAGCCCAAAGGCTCCTCGTGAGATCTTAAGCCAAGTGGGGACTTGAAGGTGGATCTCTGCTGTTCCAGAGCAACAGTCTAACCACCACACTAATCTGGTTCTCTTGATAGCATTGCAAGCTGCTGGCCCCCTTGCTTCTCATTTTGGGCCAGACAACCATGCTGGTGAGGAGAAGATGTCATGGCTAGTTGTTTACTGGCTGTCTTTGTTTATGCAGCAAGCAAGTGCTAGCAGTGATAGAAAAGGAAGAAGAGAAATAGGAGTTCATAACACTGACATTGAGAAGGCTGGCTCATTGCGGGAGAGACCCATTGAGGTTGCTTAGTCTAAGCACCTTTAAAACCTGCTGATAACAATGGTTTTCATCCCAAGCTTAATGATTGCTGTATATGGTACATTCAATGGAAAAGGGTGGGGCATTTCTCAGACATATCTGAGCTGTTCAAATAACAGTATCTACTAGAGGATTGCTATTGTTTCTGCCCAGAACTTTGTGTTAGGTGATCTACTGTGGACCTACAGTTAGGCCCACTGTCATCATTCTGCTCATGTAATTTTATATATGTATTAGAGTGGGGCAGGTGGTTAAATGAGCAGGAAACTGTTGGCTCTAAACTCCTGTTTTCATGCCATTTGACAAACAGAATATTCTAATACCAGAAGGTTATAATTTCCTGCAGCATTTGAGCATTTTGATAAGTAACACATGTTGCAAAGAAGCTGTTTGCTGAAGCTGTTTCCTGTACAAACAAAATAAAAATTGATATAGTGTGGTTTGTATGTACAGGTTAAACTGAACAACAGAAGATGATTATACTGTAAATATGTATCTAAATTTCTGCACTATGTGCAGAACTTTGAATTAAACTTTTGATCAAACTTTTGAATTAAGCATGTAAACCAAATGGTGCCCAAATTTCTCTCCATAGTTACAAGATTCATTCCTTTCCACCGTCCTCTCCTTTGTTGTTTTGTATGTTAATCTTAACTATCTTTCAAACTTTAGTTGGGTAGAGGTGAAAAAAGAGGGAAGTAGTAGGAAGAAGAGGGGAAAGGACATATGTGCGGGATAGTCCTGATCTCTTAACCAGGAAGATTCGGATTTTGGTCAGGATTATATTTACACTATGAACTTCAGACTCCCACTTTCTCTGTGTGTACGTTTTAGGGATGGGTGAGCCTTTTGTTTTCATTTGGTTTTGATAAGAATTTACCAAAATTTGCAAAGGTCTCGCTATTTGGGACAAAAAAAGAACTTGGGATTTCAACAAGTTGAATGTGGGAAAAAACAAAACTAACAGCTTTGTTAATCTAGTCTCAGGGCTTTGGGTGATTTGTTCTTAAAAGTCTGGGTCTGAATTCCTGTGTAAGCTAAATGCTGCCTAAATGACTTGACATAATTACAAAATACTTCTCTTTCTACAATGCTCCCTCTTCCTGTTTGTATAGTAATACCAGCTTCTTTCAGCTTTCAGATTCCTTTCAGTTTTCAGGAATTTATGATCTTTATCTATACTTTCCTAAACCATTATTAGCTGTAAATCATGATCAGATATGGGTTTTCAAACTGTAGCTTGAGCTAATGGGTCAAGAATGGTGGAGAGCCAATGAAACCATATTAAAAATTGATGGCTATCCTAATCAAACATGTTGATGTTGTTTAGGATGGCCACCTCTTTTTCTGGCAGACTCCTCATCTTTAACAGCTATATGGCAAGCAGGTGAATAAGGTTCACACCATGCAGGGAATAACTGTACCTTTAGAAGGTGGCTAATGCAGATGAATAAAAATTTAATTGTTGTTTTCTTCTGATTAAAACTTACCATAATTCACCAAGTCCTTAATATTAGGAAGATAAAGAACTCATTAAAAAGTAAATGCATGGAAAAGCAAAACTGACAGATTTGCTTATTGTGAGTGTGTAGACAACTAGATGATACGGTTCATGTGTACACATATTATGGGATAGGCACAATTTCATTAAAACCAAGGAACTGGTGAATGGGGACAATATTTTCCTACCTTCTATAAATGTCAGATATGTAAATAAGTGCTCTCCATATAGAAGTACTTCAGAATCAGAGGAAAAAAATGCAAAGGTCTAACTGCCATGTAAACTCATTTGAAATGTCATGTCTTATTAGAACCCAATATGTGGAATGTCTGTTTTCCCCCTTTGGTTGAGCCATCAAATTTGTCAAAATTTTATGATAATTCATTCCATCACTCCTCAGACATTTACATGACAGGCAGTTCTTGTGAGGGAAAAAAAGAATCCCTGTAATCCTACTCTTCATGTTAAACTGCCTCCAGAGAGGCTTTTAAAATACTCCTCATCTGAGTCAGGAGCAAAGCCCTAAATTTCTTGCTTCCACTTATGATTTGCCTGGAAAAAGACAATAAATTGGCTCTCTACCATTCTTGACCTCTTGACTTCTGAACCCAGGCTGCCCAAGCCTTAACTTTGCTTACTTAAGTCGGTAGCAACAATGTCACTCTGCTGCTTTTCCAGAGGGTCCAGAGATTTTGCTCTCCTGAATGGCTAAGCTCCCCCTCTAGTGTTCACTCCTCATCACATTATTTCTCAGATGAGTAAGAAAGAGATATGCCACTTTCCAGCCACTTTGAAAAGATAAAGCACAGCTCTTGCTCTATTTATATTGTAACAGTTTAATGGTACAAATGCACAGTGGCAAATAAATTCCTTGAATCCTTGTCTTACCAGCTGCTTTCCTTCTCTGTAAAGGAAATAATAAACCACCTGTAAAAAAATCCCCTACCTTTTTTATCTAGAAGGCAAACTGCCTAGTAAGGTAAGGACAACTGTTGGAGACTTAGAGACCTTGTACTTGATTGCTGTCCTTAGGTAACATTTAACAGTACCAACCAGCCTTGCTGGTTGTTCCATGACCAACAGAATCTCAATACATAATATGCCGGAGGTGGGCCTTCTTATTCATGGGGCTTACTCTCTGGAAAATCTCCCCTGTGCAATTTGGGAGGTAGAAAATATGGTATATTTCAAACTCCTCCTGCAAATATATTTGTTCACTGAAGCCTTCTCTGGCATCTAAATAACTACAGTTGATAATATACTGCTCCACTTTATTGCTACTTGCATGATTTTGTATAGTTATTGTTGTTTTTAACATGTGTTATTTTAAATATATAACATATATTTACTTTGCTGTTTTGACTGAATTTGCATCCAGTATTTCTTTAATATCATATTTCAATTGCATTTTTAATGGTGTGTGTGAATTGCTTGGTGATTTTATTAAGAAGCAGCATATAAATGCTGTTAATGAATGCACAAACAAATTAATAGTAGTACCTTGGGAAGGGATGTGATATTGGACTCCTGGAGCTGCACCCAACTCCATTTTCAGTGCAGAAGGGATGTACTGTGCTTCTACACTCTAGCATTTTCTAGTTATACTGTGAAGGGTCTTGAGTGGCTCCAGCAGGGTGGCCTAAGGGTGGCCTAAAATATTTTGTTGCCTGAGGTGATGCAGAATGCTCCCCCTGCCTTCCTGTCTGTAACACTTAAGGCCAGACAAGTTGTTTTGTGCCTAAGGCAGAAAATTCCATCTATCAAGTGTCGCTTTTCTGCCCTAGCAGTTAAAATACAACAGTGATAAATTAAATAAGTACTAGTTGCTGCCCTTTCAGGAGACTCCATCTCAGCTGCTTTAGGTGAGTGCTGTCCTAGGTCCCACAAAGAGCTGTTCATTAGGTTAAGTTCATACATATCTTTGCTTAATGATTGCGCAACATGTGGTCTGTGTATATCATGGGGCAATCATGAACTCAGAAGGCAGAACCTCCACATCACCACTTATGATTTTGCACACAATAACAATTAAAAGACCTTTCTGACATGATCAGCTGTGAACCATCAATTCATGGGACACAAGGAATGTGTGATTATCATGTGCCTAAAAATAAACCTTTAGCTCATTGTTTCATACTCATGGTGGCTTTCACAAGGTGATAGCACCAGCTTGCCAGAACTGGTGAACTAAAATATATTCATCTAGGACTTTATTAGGATATTGATCAAGGACTTTAGATGTTTCCCTATCACCATGTCACTTTTAAATCTGAGGACACAGTTGCAATACATATCCCAGTTCATGTCTAAAAGGACAATTGCTTCCTATTTCTGGGATTTAATTTCTATAGGGATATCTACAAGTTAAAAGCAATAACCTGACACACCTACCATGAGCAATGAAAGAAACAATGAACACAGAAAAAAGGAACATTATCTGTCAATCTACTGTGTGCATAACAGAGCTGTGTTTTGACATCTGAGCCAGTGGCTGAGTTGAAAAGTGACTAGTTTTCAATAACATTTTGCAAGCAAAAGGTGATGTTTACACTGCTTACCCAAGTATGGGTGCAAGGCCTCACTGATTAGCTGTACCCGCAACACTCTGAATTTTGCAATATTGTGGTATAGCAATGAAAGTGCCATACTGCACTTTGGCAAACAGAACGGATTAGCCCAGTTGCCTTGGCAACAGGATTGTATTCCTTCCATCCCCTTCAGGGGGATGACATTGTCTTCATTGATCTCCACTGATACTGTGACATAATAAAAACTGCTGTGTGCGTTGCCATGAGATCATTACCCAACAACAGGGGTGTTGAACCTCTTCCAG